GAATCAGACTCTAAAAATCTATCTACACAAGTACATTAGCTTTTAACAGAATGACTAATATGAATGACTTTCTCTGACATAGCTAATCATCAATAATAGAGATACTGCCTTAATAGATGTGAGCTCATTCTTTTTAACACATCTTTTTCACATCTTCTTTATTGATATAGTTGATACACTCTCTGTTGAAATATCACATAATCTCATTGAGTTTGCAGATGATTATATGAGGAAGATCTGTAAAGTATTGAAGTGAGCTCAAATAAAAATGATAGATGCTCAGCAATCTCAAAAGAACTACATAAATAGACAAAGAAACTCAGTTCTAAGCTTTCAACTCAGAGATAAGATCTGATTGAGCTTAGAGAACATGAGAACTAATCATCTGTGCAAGAAGCTGAACATGAAATACAATCAATATACTGTGCTAGAAAAGATAGAATCTCATGCTTATTAACTGAACATTTTATCTGACATTCACAATGTTTTTAATGTAAAGCTTCTACATGCAGTGATAACAGATTTCTTGCCTAGTCAGAGACAAACTGACTGACAGTCACTCACTATAGAGACTCTGAAAGAACCTGAGTTTGAGATTGAGAAAATTTGAGATGAATAAATCTATCAGAGAAAAAGCAATATTTTATTAAATGAATAGATTGAGCTGAGTCTACATGAAATGATATGAGTCTTCTACAAGAAGTGAAGACTTTGAACATTTGGGAGGCCTCTCAGCAGGCAAAATTAAGTGTAAAGAGAGCTTTAAATAGTCATAAAGACCTGCAACAAAGAGGGAGAAGGAGGGTATTATAAGAGACTGAACCCATAGATTCACTCTGGCTGACTGACTCAGCCTAGCCATCATTTGCATGTGTGCATGTGATCATGCTACGTGAGCTTGCTTAAGCTCATATTCTTATCTCATTCTTTTCTTCCCTTTCCCAAGCAATTCATCCTTGTTATATAGGAGGACTAGCCTCTAGTTCTTAGAGCTTAACCCTCTACATAATCTCATTTTTTCCATTTCATGCATAATCAGCTTTTGTTAACTATACTTTGTTCATTTGAGTTCTGCACTTCTAATATCATCAGCATTTGATAACACTCATACTCACATATCACCTCTCAATTCCCTTTGAACTGGGTTAGAGGCGGATCAGGGATTAGGATTAGAAGTTTAGAGGGTTAAGATAGGGTTAAGGATTGAGAAATGTGAATATCAAGGTGAGAATAATTATTATATAAGGCTAGCAGGCTGCAAGTGTTGTTTTAGTATATAGTGCTTCTATTCACAATCAACCCTTTCAAGTCATACTCAAACACATGCCTCATCACAGGGGCAGCAATGGAACCTGGTAGCTAATAGCATTTTAGCTCTGTCATCATTTCATAGTGAAATTTTTTACTTCCTTTACCACTCTTGTTTTTTTCAGACCTGCATTAAGGCTTCTGTTACTATTTCACCTCTTGCATCTCATTATCACCATTCATGTGACAATCCTTAATAGACTCCGTGTCTAAGAGTCTCGAGGCTGTTGCTTTGTTGAATTGATTTTCGCAGAGTGAGGTATCAAGGATGTTGAATGCGTTCAAACAGAAGCTAGCCAGCTTGTGAAAAATTGCTTAATTCCTGCTGATGGATCAATACACAATTTGGGTACGACTTCTAGCTGTGGAAAAGTGGCACCTCAGATTATTGGCAATGCTAAAAAGGTAAGATCCCACACCGTGTCATATTAACTGAATGTGACACCATAAAGTTAAAGGATATAATATCCATCTGAAGAATCCTCGTCCATTTCCCTCCTATATCATGATTAGAAAGACGTTCACTGCTATAGTTCTGATTATGGTCATTGAACCCTCATCGATAATCGTCAAAGATTCCTCGGGTACTTCTATTTCTTTGAAACCGGAATACCCACAGTTTATATAATTTCAAGAAGGAATATTCTCTTGAGATTAGCGGAAGTGGTCACCTTGCGGCATTGGTCCTTGTACCGAAGTTGAAGCGGAAGGCCAGTTGCTGAGAATCCCCTGACCTCTCCTCCCAAAATGTAGCCTGCATTTCCTCGTTCGCATAATTTGAGTCATCCTTTGCTTACCCGGAGTTTGGCTGGCTACCCTGGATTGCTGAATTGGCGTCTTGATAGCTATGCACGTTCTGAATAGGCGGCTCATTGATGTTGAAGCTGTAGCCCTGGCCTAACTACATAGGCGCGTTGGTGCCGCTGAAGCCGAGAATGGCTTGATTGGTGTCGTGGTAGCCAGGCCCCTGCTGGAGGGGGCACATTGATATCGTTAAAGTTGTGTTCATGTAATGTTTTATCGGAGTTAACATAAATGGATAGGTCTGTCCGCAGCCGCGTTGTGTGTTACCGACGAAAATTTCAGATTTCGTCTTCTCACCAAAGAGATATTGAGCCATGAAATCTAGAATTGGTTCATGTTATCGTTGTTTTCAGTTTCAAGCTCTTTCCAAGAACGACACAAATATCGACAAATATCGGCAACTCGCCGAGGCTCAACTGTTGAAGTTTATGGATCTCAAATATCATCATCAAAACTCTTTACACTGGTGATAGCATCCTTAGGAATAGCATCCTCATATCTAGTAGTTTTCTTTCGCAGCAGCTTTTGGGACAACTGTTGAATGAGCCATCTTCAAATACCACAATAATAATGTTCTTGTCTGAATTGTGGCATTCTAGGCCATCAACATAGTTACTTGGTATTCGTCCAGCTTTCTTGACGGTTTCAATAACGTTTTGTAAATCTCTTCTACCCTGGACAGAAACCGATTTTTGGACTCCCAGTGATTATAATCGTCGGAGTAGGAGAGTTGCATAAGCTTTTTAAGTAGGATATCCTCCTGACTGAGAGACTTCTTAACTACCGTAAACCCGCTTTAAATTATCAACTCTCCAATAGTTCGTCTCACTCATGCCCGCACCATATCAGCCAATGTCCATCATTTGCTCTCCGAGAAGTTCAAGACCGTTCGCAGATTTTCTCTGACCGCTTTTAGCAACGCTGCGGGTCGCCAATCATCACGGCATCGGAGTTTATTATGCCTGATGGTATTTGATTAGAATAGATTCAGTATCTACAGAGACTGATTGATACCAGAAGCACTCTGAACATCACTGATTTGAAGGATTGTAACATCAGTATATTTCTAGTCTATAACCCAGGACTGAGCTACTTGGACAGTATCTCTGGCATGGTACTCATCTGAAGTGAGCTAACTCATCATAGACCTCACGTTGATTTCTTTTAATGGGTTTGGAGGACTGACACAACTGAGTCCACCGGGAAAACAACTTATTCAGAATGGCAGGAAAAAGCTGAAGAAGTAACTAGCACAGCGACTGCAAAGGAACAGTGTAAAGGATCACTTGGAATGAACAAAGGAGATGCTTCAAAAGAGCGGAATACGTTGAATTTTTATAAACTTCGGGGAGCACTGAGAGCATCCCCATCCTGCAATGAGGCTGAACATCAATAGTAGATATGACATCGCGACCCTTACTGTCCCCGACGTATGAGAACAATAATCGTTGATGAGAGATTACGGTGTTAAAAGTGGAGTAGGCTTCGCATCACACCGTTCTTGGGAGACTGCGCCCTTGAAAACAAACAAAATGAAGTATTCGGACTCTCTCTGAGTGCCCGTCCTCATCTTACACAACCTACTTAACCAACTATTAATAGTACTCCGTCATACTCTGCAGAGGCAAACGTGGCAATCTTAAGGGGACACGATCACATGACGCATTTATTTAACCTCACGTGATCTTTTATCAAGGATACCAAGCTCCGACGAACTTCCATCCGTCCAATATTCAAATTGGTGCGAAGCAATCGATTGAAGAGCATCAACAGTTAGTAGAAGTTCAGTATACACCAGGGCTGTGTCTTCATCATGGCTACTGATCATGGCCGGCCCATTGTTCCTCCGCGGATTCTCAAAACTGACTACCCCGTATGTGCTCCTTTCTCCACTCGTGCCATATAGTTTCTTACCCAAATGTTCTTATTAGGTGATTGATACAGACCCGTACGCACGTCTTAATTCCGACCCAATTGTCGATAAGCAGTGTTTCTAACGTCCATCACAGACATATAAAACGAGTCTTCGGATATGCTCGCCCTTCCGATTATGTTCTAGGGGCTGGGATCGGTGCATCTTCCCCAGCTCTGTTTTGGTTGATGGAGAAAATGCACCCTGTCAGTGCCAGTCCAGGAACATTTGGCCGAGCTATGCGACTGGCGACGGCCATTGGCTTTTTCGGTGGCTTCTTCACCGTATACAACACATCATGTAGTACGTTGAACTCACGTCAAATTATACCTTGGAAGCAGGTATTGTGGATTCCGCCATTAACATCTCCTTCTATTTACAACATAGAACGTTTCTACGGTTTTACAGAAAACAAACGCGAGGTCGATATGGATATGCGTGAGATGGTCGATAGGGTTAAGAAGGGAGAGCCTTTGTACGGAGAGTCGTCACTCTCGCCTTACATGCAAGGGATTGCCGCACGGAATTCGCGATATTCGTCCCTATTCATCCATATCATTCCTTGGTTCAATTTCGTGAACCACAACCAGGTATTAATTTTCCCGGACATATGAGAATCTGTGGTTGATTTAGACCCAAGCTAATCGTTTTACCCATTGACAACAGCACGGCGTTGACACTGCGAAGTACTATCAACAAGCGGAATTGGAACTAGAAGCAGAACGCCAAAAGGCTGCATCCTCGTAATAGATTCCATTTTCAAGCTATCTGTCCAATAGTATTCTGTGAAATTAATTTCCCGTTGGTTCCTGTTTTGTTTAAGGCTTTTTCGCTTTTTAAAGGAGAGGAAAAGTATTGTACATAACTATATCTATGGTTCATAAATTTCATAAATATTCCTCGGCAGGAGGACAAAAGAGAAATAAATTATGGTGCAAAAATAATGTTAACCATGTTGCATCACGCAAAAAATAGTTCATGGTAAAGGAATTATTTTGACTAAATCAATACCCGCTTCAATGTCCTCATCAAAAACATCCTTCAGCTCACGGTCCTTTTTCGGTTTAGGATTAGGAGCTAGGTAGATATATCAGTTTCCCTCTTTTCTAAACGGCATTGAAGTAGGTTATAGATCACCAATTATTACATACCTCTCTCATTCTCCTGGATATAAAATCGTCGTAATAACATAATTGCTTCCTTACGGAACAGGCCTCCCGTGAGCTCATACGGTGGATCTATCCCAGGGCTAATGTTCTTTGTTTTCAGCAGCGATCCATGTTGGATATTTAGATGAAAGATAATCGACTCACTCAGAGTGCAAATTTAGAACCCCTCCAGTTCCTCCAAAACGTTCATTTGCGCATCCAAAGAACACATGTCTGATTCGATATTGTCTTAAAGCAGAAGCACACATTATACATGGCTCAACAGTAACATAGAGATCTGTCTCATGAAATATACTTCGTGGGTAACTTCTCAACACTTCTTCGACGGCTAAGAATTCTGCATGTCTTGTTCCCTTTATATTTTATATCAATTTTGCATACCGCGAGTTGCTCGAGGAGATGGCTATATACATACATTCATTGATTTATTTGTATCATTCATACCGGATCCGATAATTTCCTCATTATGAACCAACACGCAGCCTACTGGGGTTTCGCCGCTTGCGAGAGCTTCTTCGCCCTTTGTATTTCTATGAATTAGTTTGTAGGTAGGTAGTGAGGAGGGAGAGATACAGATACCATATCAAGGGCTTTTCTCATAAAATATTCATGCTTTAATGTTTCACTGCTAAACCGCGAGTTAGGTTTGTTCTGTTCCATCCGGACGAGAGAGACCTGTTATATCTACATTATCTAGCTCCGCATTCGTTTGACGAATGATTGTAGAAAATAATACATTTGGGGACAAAATATTATTGTGGTCTTGATGCATTACATAATCACATACCATCCAATAGTTAGTTATCTCGAGCAGTGTTAAATATGCCGGACAGAGCCTTGAAACTGAAGAATCAGGCTGCCCTAGCTAAAAACCCAGATGTAATCTAAAATCATTGTTCGTTATATTTGAATGCGGTTTTGCTAATCCTCCCGGATCTCCGCCTGTCTTAATCCTATCTTCGTCCATGTGGTGAAAGATTGTTTTGAATGGCTGTAGACAAGTCAAGAAGGCCTCAGCGTCAAGTGGCAGGTGAATCAACTTCGTCTATTTTAGCTGCTCATCTTGCACCTCACCTGTCCCCTGGCCCGAATCAAAGATATGGTATCAGCCCGGAAACCTTCTCCCAGTTGCGCCAGGAGATTTTGGGTCAAGATGAAGGGGGTCAATCCAACCTGGAAGACAATATCACAGAAGTGCATAACTTGATATGCGTGGTGATCAAAGCTGGACTCCAGACGTCTTTCAAGTCTCAAGTGTTACGGGAAGATATGGAGGGACAGATATTAGACTGTCTTGACATTATCCGGTTAGCGGTGCAGAGATCTCCTCAAGTCCTTTATGAGATTTCGGACCCTGAAATTCTTGGCAAGAGAGATATACATGCACCCCTGTTTGCCTGGCTTATCCATGAACTATTCGCACTCCTTTTCGAATGGACCCAACGGTCTATACAAGACAAAATTTACAGCCTCCTGTCAACCATCTATGTTTCCCAATTCAAAGGTCCCCAGTTATGGCATTCGTCCCAGTCAGTGCATACACTGATCCAAGCTTGCATTAATGGTGAGTTGTTTGATCAATCCTTCCATGTTGAAACCAGAGGCTCACATGTATTCTGCAGATATGTTGTATTCCCTGGAAGCTATTAAACCTTCACAGTTGGACGATGATATCACACTATTTTTCCCGGGACCGTCGAGCATCTTGCCAACATGCTTAGACAAGCTGTCCCTTCCGCGCTCGATGTTTGCTAACAGAGTCAGGCTGGGAACACCTGCAATGGTTGTTAAGTTTTGCCTTCAACTTTTCGAGGCAGTAGCATGCCCTCCGTTTCATGCCACTCTATCAGCATCCAGAGCAGCCAGCCTTCGTCAGCTCCTTACCTGGGTGCTTCACTGTCAACAGAAATTATGGACAGTGATGTTCGAGTGGTTTGAAATAGCTCGGCCTGATCACATTGAGGAGAAGTTGACCTATCTTCTTGATTTTGTCACGTTGTCTCGCAAACTATACTCACATGCTTTGAAGTTATCGCAAGGCTTGCCTTTGGACCAGCAGGCAAAACATGTATGGCTGCAGTGTGGAGTTGATTTGCTGACCTCCCCGAAACTCCCACAAAGCGCGGATGTACAACACGCGCTGAGCCAACTCCTAAGCGATGCGATGCGACTTTCCCACACTTCCTCTGAAGTCGGCCAATTTATTGAAGATCATTTCTTCCAACCACTAAGTGATCTTAGTGAAGATGAGAGTGGATTTCAGCATTTACATCAGTCATTTCAGGTGAGAGCCATTGTGTATATGTATCTTTTGTATGTACACTAAAAGGAATCTGCAGATGGTCATATCCAGAATCGTAAATAAGGAATATGGGGCTCGAAGGGTTGAAGACGATTCAAATCCAGCAACCCCAATCCCCAAAGCTCAGACGCATGAATCAAAAGTTACCCCAAGGAAATATTCAACTGACCCTCTGCTCGAGGATAACGGAATTTCTGGAAGTGGTAGGGCACGGAAAAGACCCCGTCTTTCAAACGCGGAAGAAAACGGTCCCGTCCCAAACCTGATACAGACGATCACAAGTACACTGTTCCATATTCTTGGCTCTCACCCGTCAACTGGGGTAGATGAGTTGAATCAAACAGTTTTGTAAGACTTTACTTTCGGTTCTATCAAGGTGTCCACCGACTGACCCTGTCAAATGTTGTTTACAGAAATACTTTACCCAAGCTATCCCAGGATTCCCAGTGTGCGGTTTTGGCGATGCTTGGACGGATTGCCTGTGCTTCGGTAGAAACTTTGGTGATGGAACAACCCAGTATTATTTCTAGACCTCAGTTCCGGTGTCGCATCTGCGACGGAACTTCACCAGAGGCCTACAACTGTCAAAACAGGAAGCTCCCACAATTTGAAGAACTACGAAAAACTTTGATTGAACTCATTCCGATCCTCCGTGGGTCTGGTAAGCCTCGGACAGCTGTTATGTTTGCTATTCGGAATGTCGTAATGCACGACCCGAAGAATGAAAATATGCGACTCCAATCATCCCCATTGGGTGAATGGTGTCTCCAATCGTTTCGCAGCTCTATCCGGGAGCTGAGAATGGCTGCAGGGTACGCACTTCTTGCAGCTAACAGCCACACCTCTATGTACTAACCCTCGTGGAACAGGCAAACTTTGCCAGCCTTCTTGCGGAAAAATCTGAAATCCGATATCCGTCGAGCTAATTTTGTAATGTCTTTGGAGTATTTGCAAAACGTGCTCGAAAAAGGCGAAATGCCGATTCAAGAAACATCTATCGTGGGTTTGAGTCGTGTGGCAGAGTAAGCTTCCCCTTCTCTTGGGTATCTATAGTGTCTAATATCGACAAGAGTCTCCGGTGATGAGGAGATGAATATCATACTTCTCCGCCTTCTTGAGTACCTTGGTCATTCAAATCCATTCATTAGCAGCGTTGCATATACCGCGGCAAGTTTCTCTCCTTTGTTGCTGTTTGGTTATTACCCACTGACAATTACTAGCTCTCCAAGCTTGCCCAACATCTAGGAGGTACTCCTGGTGCGCTCTGCAGGCCGTTCTGGAGGACACTCTCTGTTATGATTGTAAAAAATATTCAAAGACGCCCACAAATGGCTGACCAGCTCTGTGACCTTCTCGGCATGAAGGTGGATAATTTTTTAAGGCTTACTGAAGTACACGTTTTACCCTACCTTGTTTTGATGAGAAAATATGATATCATGGAGCGCATAGGAGCCACTTATGACCAGAAGAAATCTCTTTACGAACTCTGCAATAACGATAATAACATTGCGGCGATTCTTACCCTTTTGCTGATTCAACCGTCAGCCGATCACAATGCTCTGGTTACGTCAATATTTAATGAGATATCGCCCAAGTTCCAGATCAACGACCTTTCAGCTTGGGTTCGGTTGCAGCCAATTCTCATTGCCTGTGGGCTTCTCAAGGGACTGGGAGATTCAACTAAAGGCGAGAGATTTAAGGTAAGAAAGGAGACTGGGTGATTCTCTACTAAGCTATATTGGAGCTCACATTACAATCCCAGTACTACAAAGCTCTCAAGCTTGTTGCGTCTCTTACAATAAGAGGGCCGGACTACGAAATTGACTCGTCGAAGGGGAATGAGCTAGTCGAAGAGTTTATTGAAGACAATGTTTTGGGGATTATCACCGAGTTCGCCCATGTTGTTAACGATTTTCAAATCCGCCAACCCACTATTGAAAAGAAAAGGAATATCATCGCGATCGGGGAGATGATAAAACTAGCGAATGGCAATATCACTATTGCTCTGCCACAGGTTCGTGTTGCACTTACCCGCTTCTAAAGATATGAGTTGAAATTTCATTGACTCTTCCTAGATTTGTGCTTGTTTGCGATCGGCGTTGGAGATGCCAGAACTCTGCGATCACGCTTTCGCGTCCTGGAATATCATAATGACCACACTCGACGATGAGGAGATAGAACCCTTAATAGACCAGACGCTGTCAATAATTATTAAAAATTGGGATACATTTCAGCAAGAGAGCAGAGATCGTGCCTTGAAACTTGTTGGTCACATTTTCAATGAGCATAGGGCCCTGGTGGAACGTTCATTTGAGACCATGCCCTCATTATCGTCTATTTCTTCTATGAAGGAGTACGAGGAAGAGATCCAAAATCTTAAAAAGCGAATGGATGTTCAAACCAGATTCAAGATATTTTGTCGACGGTGCCAAAACGAGAACCAAGTCGTCGTTGAGCAAGCATTGAAGGAGCTTGTACAGGAACTACGCAGAAACGATGAATTCATTCATCGGTCTGTTACAAATGAGCAACCGGACAGTATTGTTGCCCAGCTGATTCGGACCTTATTGGATTGCGGCTCCAAGTTTAACCCAGGCTCACCTATAATAATGGCACTCTCTGCTCAGTGTCTGGGTATTATCGGATGCTTGGACCCGAATCGAATTGAGTTGGTCAAAGACAAGAAGGACATACTCGTTTTATCTAATTTTGAGAGCGCT